CATATTCAATTTGCGATTTCTTAATCAACGATATCAATCTTTATAAATTACATATCCGCTACCATATCATCCTCTATGACTGACCGGCGTGAACTTAATGATAACATAATAATCTGAAAATATTAAAGACAGTGATAAACTGTACAGGAAGCTGAATAGTACGCCTACCACATCATAAACATTGCAATTTCGAATTAACAATCCCCCTCGATCAATTTGTGACAAGCCATCGATAGTCCACGAATGACCATTACAGCAGGGACTTCCGTCCATGATCTAACAGCAAACAACAATTAGGGTAGAGTCGTACTATATAGTGCGTACCAGGGCCAATTGTAAAACGATGGGTTTGAACAAGTTATGACAAAAATGTATCTAGTTTTCATATGTACATATCTTCTTTTGACTGATTTTAATCGAAACGAAAGTGTCATCTACTTTTTTGACTTCCTCTACGCCTATTCATTTTAAGTTTCCCACGAACGCAGATCTAGATATTCATTTCACGTTTCCCAGGAACGCGATCTAGATATTCATTACAAGTTTCCCACAGACTCAGATCTAGATATTCATTTCAAGTTTCCCACGAACGCAGATCTTGATATTCATTTCAAGTTTCCCACGAACGCATATCTAGATATCCATTTCAAGTTTCCCACGAATGCAGACCTAGATATTCATTACAAGTTTCCCACGAACGCATATCTAGATATCCATTTCAAGTTTCCCACGAACGCAGATCTAGATATTCATTACAGGTTTCCCACGAACGCAGACCTAGATATTAAATTCAAGTTTCCCACGAACGCATATCTAGATATTCATTACAAGTTTCCCACGGACGCAGATCTAGATATTCATTTCAAGTTTCCCACGAACGCAGATCTAGATATTCATTACAAGTTTCCCACGAACGCATATCTAGATATTCATTTCAAGTTTCCCACGAACGCAGATATAGATATTCATTTCAAGTTTCCCACGAACGCAGATAATTGTTTCGCGAAAACGTATTTCGCGAACATAAGATGTTTTCATAGCCCTACCCTAGCCCTATAAAATCAACATGTGGCTTTGTCAAAGGCTAATAAGCCCTTTAAAAGAAGATATATTTAACAGTGAAAGAATTTGAATAGAATCGTTTTGGAAAAGGCGTATGAATATAGATTGTAAATACGATATAGATTGTAAAACGATATAGATTGAATATAGATTGTAAACCGTATATGCAACATTCAAGAAATGTATTTATACTATTGTAAAGACGCAATGAACAAAGTGAAAAGTTGACAATTAAAGGTATTACAACACAAAGAAACATAATTGCCTTTATATATTTTAAAACAAACTCTTCATGTTTATTCACCCTATTTTACGTTACTATCCAGTGTCATAATATTTATGTCTTACACCCCAGTCACATTACCCACGGCCGCCGTGCGGTCCATCATTTCTGCGGCCAGTAACATTTCTACGCTCGCCGTAGAATTTCTGCGCTCTCATACTTCTGCAGTCACATTTCCCACGGCAGCCGCACGGTGGATTTTAAATTTCTGTTGATAAATAATACTTTTTTCATTTTATTTACATCAGGACAATTTATAAATGTTATTCATAGTGCTAGGATGTAATATCAAATGAAAAGTGATCGTGAAACATTGACAAATATTGATTCAATCTTGTTGAGCCAGTTGATTTCTACGGGGACCTCAGAAATGAACAAATATTATAACTCCGATTTATAATTTCTACGGCGTTCCTACGCTCGCCGCAGAAATTCACTGATTTAATTGATCTGCGGTTGACGCACGGCCTAGGCGCCTCCGTACGACAAATGTGACTGGGGTGTTAAATACAAGATATAATCAAACATTTTCATAAAAAATATATGGCATAATCCTATTAAAATGGAGAAAATAGTCCAAAGAAGGTTCGAAAAACGATACTTTACACCCCAGTTACATTTCCTACGGCGACCTTGCGGTCTATCATTTCTGCGGCCAGTAACATTTCTACGCTCGCCGTGGAATTTCTGCGCTCTCATACTTTTGCAGTCACATTTCCCACGGCAGCCGCACGGTGAATTTTAAATTTCTGTTGATAAATAATACTTTTCTCATTTTATTTACATCGGGACAATTTATAAATGATATTCATAGTGCTAGGATGTAATATCAAATGAAAAGTGATCGTGAAACATTGACAAATAATGATTCAATCTTGTTGAGCCAGTTGATTTCTACGGGAACCCCAGAAATGAACAAATATTATAAGTCCGAGTTATAATTTCTACGGCGACCCTGCGTCCTGTAAAAAACTGGATACGCCGTACGGAGGCCGCAAGGCGAGCGTAGTTTTCATACGCTCGCCGCAGAAATACACTGATTTAATTGATCTGCGGTCGACGCACGGCCTCCGTACGACAAATGTGACTGGGATGTAACTGTTAGATAAACCATCAATAATGGAATTGTCAAAAGTTGCATTTATAAATTCCTGCCTCATCACTGTTACACCCATTACTACAAGATGTTTCTCGACTAGATCACTGTCTGCAAGCTAAAAAGTATCAAAATCACTGCCTGCTTTATCACAATAAACTTTTGTTACAACTTATTTCAGTAAAATGCAAATAGAAGGCCCATTTGATATTAATATGGAAAGATAGTCCACTTTGGTGTGGTAATTTTACTGCAACAACTACATATATATGTACATGTATAATGCTTTTTTATTCAAAAGTCAATCTTTGTATTCCTATTTAACCTAAAGGATTTTTATATATCTGAATAATCGTTATATTCATTTTTGGCAAGTTAAATAAACATAGGGCTCACACAAGGATCAACTTTATTGAAGACATTTTGTACTGGTATATGCCCTGCAGCTCTAAGAGCAAGAGCAATGAATTGCGATTTTTAGTTGAAACAATGAAAGAAACACAATACCATCATTTTATTTAATATTTAACAAATAAAATTGTGTTAAACTTAGTATTTTTTTGAAATCATCACTAAATATGAAAAAGTTGTAAATAATGTGGATCCTTGTGTGACCCCTATAATTATTTACTTTGCCAAAAACTAACATAATGGTAATTGAAACATTTAGAAAACATTGAATAAGTGAAATAGGAATATTATCATTAGCAACAGTGACTTTTGAATCAAATGGCATTTCAAGGTCAGCAATGTATAATTCTTCAATATTATTGTTTTTAATAAAAAATGACCACACCCAAATACAATATCATAAATCGCAATATCAAATATGCCTCTTATTTCATATACTCACTGCTATTATTTGAAAAACATGATTTTTTTCAAACTCATATTTTTGACGGTTGCACCTTGGGGCAAGCCGTTTAGCCCTTTTGTGTCACATTTTTAACTGCAGCAGACAAGTGAAAATGAAAAGTCAATGAACCAATCTATAATGACTATATAGGCCACTTTTTCTTAGTAATCTACCTCAACATCGGTTTAGACTAACTTAGCCACTTTGGAAGCGATTTGGCGCATACTATTATTCATTAGTTACTAGTAGAAGCAAAAACTATGCACCTTCGTTGAAGAAAAGAAAGTGAATGAAATAAAGAAATGAAACTACTGTATCTGAAACAATTCAGTCATATTGCATTGGTGTCGGACAACAGTCACATTCATAAACAAGCATTTAGAAATGACTATATGTATAATCTGCATAGTGTGTATTCATATGTACTGCTTCATAAAATGTAAAGAATCCCAAACTACCCTTTTGAATGAAAATAAACTCTTCCAATAGTGATAGGACCTTAGTGCACCCATGCCGTCGCAAGGCATGCCAAAATGTAAAATCACTAATTGCACTGACGCAAAACGTTCTAAATATATCAAAGCTTAGCCCTAAGGTCTCTTCAATGGATAGTTTTTTATTCACCGGACCTTGGGCATAAGGTCGATATAAAGTCCATTATTTAACTGAACTTAGGCGTAAAATCTCGTCGGCATATCGTATATCAGATTAATATTCAATATCATCTTAGGCCAAAGGTTTCGTCAATCGCTGTTTTTGTGTGTACCTGACCTCGGGCCTAAAGGCCCCCTCACATATGGCGTATGGAGTAATTTTGTCAATTCTGACGAATCTTGAGCGAAGAATCTGTTACATAATTGCAAAATATAACGAATTGTAGTGTTAGATAACTATTTGTTGCGAATGTTTTACGAAGTCTGACGAATGGGTACTTTCATTCGCGCCAGCGATTAACAACGCAAACATACTAACTTTAGCGCAATGGTGCGCATGCTACCGAATCGATATCTGAACAAAAGCTTTAAGAAAAGCTAAATCTATAAAAAAAAACTTCAAAACAAATCGGCCTCTGATGAACTGGTGAACGTTCATCAGTGGCTGGAAACATTCTTTGTGAGCAATGATAGCCACATACTGCAGTCTCAAGCGCTCTGTATCTTCCATTTTGACAAACAAATATTTTATTTGATTCAGTGTCCGCCTGTCCTGTACATGTATAAAGGTAAATAACTATGCAAAGTGTCCCAAGAAATTCAAATATATGTAAAGGAAAGTTCAAAGTAGATATTGTTCATCATGTCCAGCGTATTAATGACAGCCAAAGGTGTAATGTAAAAGTAATTATTTGTGAGGTGCTTGGCATATTCATTACAAAGAGATGTCAAATTTAAAGTTTACTCTAATAGTCTATAACATTTATGTTCATCTCCAATATTCAGAAAGTACCAAGAGGGGTAAACCTCAATGTAGTTTAATAAACCTTCCAATGTTACCATTGCTTTGAATACAGCTGTATATGTTTTGCAGTTTCAAAATGTATGAAGGAGAAGGGACGGCAATAAATTAAACTGGGAGAACCATAGATCAAGGTACAATTTTGCCACAATATTACAACAGTCATCCATGCTTATGCGCAACTTTTAGAGTCATTCCGTTTCTTAAGTTTGCAGAATCAAAGTAAATCAAATACAAAAGTTGTGATATGGTATTTCAATATATAATTATATTTTAAGGTGCATATTCTATTAAAATCGATTTACATTCCAGTTTCTTCTCCAATGATAGCATTTTCTAGCTCATTCCCTATATGCTTTGCCAGTTCTTTCTCCAATTCCTCTTTCAATGCTTCCTTTGCCTTCCTGATTTCTTCCTGCCTTTTCTTCTGTCGTTCAATCCTAGCACGAATCTTTTTCTCTTCAGGTGTTAGAGTTTTAGCGTCCCTCATCAGATCCATGTAGCGACCTTTGAAATAATTCTAATTAGTATTTATATTTTAGTGCTAATAAAAAGTCGTCGTTTTATTTTAAACAGACAACATACGATTTTTCTGCAGTTGTTTTTGCAACCATTTCTAGGTTATTCCAGAAAGGATTTTTGGATACGGACACTTATCCTATGCCAAGTAGAGTTTTAGGGAGATAAGTTGGTAAGATATATCCCGTATCCTGATTTTGAGGTTTCCATATCTAGAACCTCCATATTCCCCGCCATATCTCCCGCTCCAGGGCATATCTTCCGGCTTAGTTTTTGAAAAAAAGATGAAAAAAAAATTGAGAAAAAAATTGAAAAGAAATTTTGAAAAAAGGAAAATAACTTTGAAAAACAAATTGAAAAGAAATTTTGAAAAAATAGAAAAAAACTGGAAAAAATTCAAAATTCATTGTTTCTCAAAATGACAAGACGTTACTTTCGATTCAAATGTTTCACTCATTTGTGTATAAGTACAATAAAGTACAACTTTTACTACAACGTTCCAGTGTGCTTACCATTTTCCATGACGATATCTTTCAGCGCATCAAGTTCCTTGGAAGCTGCGTTTCCTTCGTGATGGAGGGGCATGATGGGGAACCTCGTCCTAAATGTTCCGACGTCTGGGACTGTGAATGTCGTGCGAATACCTGAAGCCGCCAACGATCTGAAACCATCAGGATGAATGTTAATAAATGAACTATGGAATATGCATATAGCTCATACACAAGAGGAAACGCCAACTACGTACCTCTAGCAAGATAAAACAATTGACAATCGCCATATTTGGAGATGGTTTATGGACATAAAATCTCTTAGATAGGAGCACTCTCAAAATATGTAAATCGTAATATTCTAGTGTGTGGTATTAACAAACCGAGTAATTTTGCGTCAAATACATTTTAATAATTTTCTTTTCGTTTAATCTCTAGTTCCATGACCTCCTTTTTTGAATTTTGAATCTAAACTGAGGTGCGACGTGCAAAGCGGCTTTGCACGCTGCTTTAAAGCGCCATCAAAGCGCCATTGGTGTGAACTCAGCTTAACGCTATACATTTGGTGCGCATCGCCACGTGGTATCTCAAATTAGTAAACCAGATCACTGGGGGGTATCGTGATGCAACAACACCGTGTTGTTGCATCAAGATGGCCAGACTTCCGGTGATAGATTTTCGTACGATGTTTTGTTTTCCCAATTTACACCCATTTCTAGGACGAGTTGCTCAATAATCATACACATGCAGTTAGCACATGATCTATATTTTAAAAAACTGTCATTGGTATACATGTAGCATCATCAAGAAGCGATAAATTCGTGGTTTTAATTCCTCACTATTGATGCAACAACACAACTCTGTTTCTTATCGATGATGCAACAACACCAATGTGCTGATGCAAAAACGCCAATATAATGTATCATTGAGAAAAGATCAAAAAGATCGGATTTAAAATATCGATTTACTCTTATCTTATTTAGTATAATTTCGTCTTTTCTATCAAGATTCTGTATGTAGGAGGTTGAAATTGTAGGTTCCATGTTATTAGTGAGATGATCGTTTAGTTGTTTTTTGAAAAGTGAGAAGCTGTTTGTTTCCTTATGGTCTCTAGGAAGACGGTTCCACAAGGTTATCATTGAGCAAACTGTTCCCGTTTCCATTTTTTTACTAATTGAGGCTGGTAATTTGTAGTCGTTGGTTGTTATTATTATGTATGTATTATTATATACCTCAAATGTATTCTAGATGCTCATTGGCTTATTCATGGTCACATGACATGGAATAGATGAACAAATTCCCTGGAAAGTCCTAAATCCCTGCTTTCAGGGAAGATGAATTGTACTAATCACCAGTTAGGTCATGTGACCAGTCAATAGTACATTTTATCTTCCCCCAAATCTGAGATTATAGGAGTTGAAAGGTAAAATGCCTTTAAATGCCAATAAGAACCTGTGAACATTTGATATTGAAATGAAAAGACTTCTCAATTTTGTTTTTGTTTACAGAGTACTTATCACTTTATCAGGTATATAATAAAACAAATAGTGACTGCCACATTTTCGGGAAATAGTGTAAAAAATTTCCTCTCGGGAATATCCTGTCCACTGACTTGTTCCCTCGGCCTGCAGCCTCGGGAACATGTCAGTGGACAGGATATTCCCTTGAGGAAAATATTTTGCATTATTTCCCTCAATGGCAGTCACTATTTGTACACTGTTGACCGCTACTAGGTACTGTTGACCGCTACTTCTGAAAAAAGTTTCATGACGTCACAAAAAATCATGGGTGACGGACATTTTGTAAGTGTTGATGAAAATGACTTTACTAGGCGACAAGTATAGCAAAAATACAAATAGAAACTTAAAATTAACATTAATTCACTAACGAGTACGCCGTGATGTGCCAAATACAGAGTTAAGCTTCTTGCACTGTCTCCATATTTTCTAAAATAATATTGCTAACGTGGTTCGGAGAAAAGGTTGTGAAATGAAGCCATGCCGATTGATGATCGTCGTCTATATGTGTATTATTAGTTTACTCGGACTAACAAAACAATAGTAGACCTCTCCATTCGATCAACCGTCAAAATCATATACCTCGACTGTAAACCTTGAAACTACTGTTGACCTCGACCTTCGGTCTCTGTCAACAGTATTTTTTCGGTTTACAGTCTCGGTACAATTTTGCCGGTTGGCCTCTGGGGAGGTCAACAATTGTAAACTGTTGACCACTACTAGGTACTGTTGACCCCTATTTTTGAAAAATTGTTTTTTTTAATGTTGAATTTTTTTTAATTTTGAAAAAATAAGTTGTGTAAAAAATTACAAGTATTCGACGGTTTGGGGATTTTTTGCTAAAATATGATACCTTTACTTATCAAATATGTTCACGTGATATTCGATTATATATTCGTCCAATTATTATATTATTTGGACTAACAGAACAATTGTTAACCTCTCTTTTCGGTCAACTGGCAAAAGTGTCCTCGACATCTGGTCTCAGTGATCAACAGTACTTTCAACGTTTACAGTATCGGTATACAATTTTGCCAGTTGACCTCAAGAGGGGTCTACAATTGTATATTGTATATCCTTTGTTATCCCACCCAAAGTATGATGTCATATATCAAGTTGAAGAGTTGTATACGCTGCTCAGGAGTTTACGCTATCCAGGAGTTGTACATCGTTCTCAAGAGTTGTATAGGATGAGTGTTGGTTTAATGATATTGCAGTTATACAATGCTATTATATAAAAGTTATTTACTGAGAGGGACTCAATATTGGTTTTATTTCGAGAGACAATATGATATTTCCCGAGGGCCCGGGATATCTGGGATAACTGTACCCCTATCAATTTACCTTTTTGGGCCCTAAATCTTATCACTTTTGTTTACCTTTTACTCAGTCGGAGAGAAGGAATCCAAAGAGAGCAATAATTCTACATGTGCGTCGTGCAAGATTTCCATTAAACGTGTAACTAAACGGCCTCTCTAATAAAGTCAATTAGACGTTTTTACACGTTGGCTCTCCAAATTGTAGGAAATAAAGAATCATGTCATATTATATCATAGATGAAGCAATCATCCCATCAACATCAGCTCACGAATGTCACAGTTAAACTGTTTTAGTTATAATTTGATAAACAGTGGTAACGTACATCACTGGCGGATTAGGGGGGGGGGTGGGGGCCCGCCCCCCCCCCCCTTTGGTGGGCCCAGAAAAAAAATTGGGCCCTAAAAAGATTTTGGGCCAAAAAAGGCCTTCAGGCCCCAAAAAGTGGGCCTTTTTGATCATTAATGGGCCTTTTAAGGCCTTATTTTTTAATTTCAGGCCAAATTTTGAAGAAAATGGGCCTCTAAATTTCAAAATTTGGGCCCACTTTTGGGTTTTAGGGGCCCAAAAATTTTTTTCCCAGCAAGCGCGGACGTGTTTTTCTCTGACCTGAAATTTGGCCCCCCCCCCCCCCCCCCCCCCCTTGTTGGTTCCAAGATCCGCCCCTGTACATCTACTAGTTTATCACTGTTCCACAGATGGATGACAGATAATATCATGATAATATCCAATAGCTCATCATGTTTACCGAGAACGAAAGATGTTTGTCCACCATTTTGAATGATACTAACTGGAGTCAGGGCCATCAAGCTATTGAACAGTGGTTTATGAAAATAGATTGGGTTAATAAAGCTTGCCATGTTAAAGGCGATTGAACTATGTTATAGAATAACGTCAGTACATTATAATATGTAAAAGTATAAATTTTTGAAAATACATATAAAGGATCTTCGCCCACAGGACGTGTATTTTGAATGCCTTGAGAAGAACGCAAATATGGGTAGGCTAATTGGTAACGGTATTGCAATAGTAGCATTTAAAAATCTGTTCCTCTCGAGATTTATGGTCTTCTGAAATTATACTATTAATTGGTGTTGCTGCATCATTGCTCAAATCTAGAGGAGTGTTGTTGCATCTTCGGTTTGGTGTTGTTGCATCAATAGTGAGGAACTAAAACCGTGAACTTATTGCTTCTTGGTGATGGTACATGTATACTAATGACAGTTTCTTTAAATATAGATCGTTCGCTAACTGCACGTGTATGGTTATTGAGCAACTCGTCCTAGAAATGGGTTTAATTGGGGAAACAAAATATCGTACGAAAATCTATCACCGGAAGTCTGGCCATCTTGATGCAACAACACGGTGTTGTTGCATCACGATACTCCCCAGTGCAGATGAGACGAGTAAATATCGTTCCATAGCAAAGGTATTCAAAAAACTTAAAAGGTGCATGGTCCTTTATCAGTCATATATTTTTCGATATCATCAAAGAATTCCATAAATACAGTAAAAAGTTAGAAAGGATTGAATAGAACAACACAGTGAGTTAGTGTGACTTTTTGCCATAAATTGAGTCATAAAAATGAGAAATCGAATATAAAGCAATGTGGTCAATAAGGGGATCTTGTAAGACATGAAATTATATTGTTGGTTCAGTTTAGAGGAGTGTATCAAACTAAAACGTTTTTAATCGAATAAAACTTTGTGAAAAATATAATTTAAAAGAATGAAAGTCTGATTAATACAACCACCTTGTGATAGCATTTGAGGTAATATCCTTCAAATTCAGAGGTCTCTCCTCGGTTCAAAATTAGGGGTAGTGGTAACACATATAACCAAAGCGGTAACAATAAACTTAAAATTGTGAGATAATTATAACCCTTCATCATTCTCAATGATCCATTAATATGTTATACATCCTTTACTTGGATTATGCATACCAAAATGTATGTCAGATGTGATATATAAATGTGTTTATTGAGCAAAATGGTTACATTCAATTCCTAATTTCACTACTATTTAAGGGGTAAAAAACATCTGAAAATGGTGTTTTGGATGTTTTTTGTCAGTATATAATTTCTTGTCGGTGTGTTAATGTTTATTTCAAACCTGTCAGTTATGAACAGTTTGAGAAAGTCTTTTTAATGGTATGAAGAATATAACATATGGAAAATGATGTACTAATCATAAATAAAATTGTATTATACTGCTTAATGGTAAATTGTAATGTAATTTAAAGAAAAAAAATCACATTGGTGAGTTTGTGAGACAGCATTTTTAACCATTGCTTACTTTTTAAATTGTCATCTAATTTCTTAAGATTTCCACAAGTTATTCACAATATTTACAGCATGTGCCTCCAAGAGTTTAGTAACTTTATAAAAAATATAATGAAAATGTTATGATTGATAAAAAAAACATGCATCTTTTTTCTATACGAAGGGTACTCAATTACCTCACCATGATCTCTTCTGGGTAAACATTTCTTTTCTTGGAAAAGTTTAACAATCTTGGACTAAATCTATTATCTACACATCGATGTATTGTTGTAATATACCAATACGCGATAACGTTTAGTTTTCGTTCAGTTTAGTTAACTCTCGTTTGAAGAGCTCTCATGTACGGTACAACATCGCCTACATCCGGGTTCTTTCCCATTGGATTACACAGGGGTGCTATTTTCAATGCCGCACTGCGACTTTATTAAACATTTATGTAGAGTTGCATTTGCAGAAATGATAGGTATGTATGTAATTAAGATATATAACAAGGCTTTTTGAACTGTAATCCCCAAATCTGAAGAAATCTGTAGTTGAAAATGCCGTCCAATTTCAGTGACGTCACTGATTTCCCAAATTGCTCAAACTTCATCGAAGATCGAAAAAATATCAATAATGTTACTTCGAATCTCCGATTATCTATCTGATTATTCAATAGATTGGATCATATAACTATGCTTGAGGGCTGATGGAAGGTCAGAAGCTGAGAAACGTTCAGAGTATAGACTCGTTCGGCGGGCCAATGAAAATTTGTCCCTTCCAAAGCGATGCATCATGGGAGATATTTATGTAAATTACCACCTGAACTCTTATCGCGAATAGGAGTATTGAGATCTGATAATATCCCTTGCATCTTTCTTTGTCCTAACATAAACTAATTTATTCTTATTCAAAACGTGTTTGAAAAATTTTGAATCGTCCTATGTGATGATATAGCCATATGACGGTCATAGATGAATTAATAAAGTATGGATCCATCAATATCTACATTAAAAGATATAGAATTTGTATGGTCGATTGTTATTTTCCTTTTATCTGATCCTAGGGAGACGGACTATATTCCTTTCTCCATGATTACCCTACGCAAGAAAGAAATAATCGACTTTGATAAGGTTAGAAATTATGATAACGATGATAGATATTAGCAATACTTGTATTTAAACAAGAGTGCAAACATGTAACAATTATCATGTATCGAACATGTAAGGCCTTTACAATTACCAGTCTTTTTGATTGTGTAACGAGTCATCACAAATCTTGAAATCTGACACTAAATAACAAATTAGAAAGAAATATCGGGGCGTTGAAACCTCGATTCAAAACATTTCCCGCAAAGCATCAAATGTAAACAGAAAATATAGGTCATCGGAAAAAATATATCACCAACAAAACAAAAACGTTAAATTGTATAATGGGTCTAAATTATCTTATCAGAGGGTTCACGTTACCTAACCAATCCATCGCTATCCAGCACTCCTACATTTCTGTCTGAAGGTGCTGCATTACCGTCGTCACTGTTGTAAAACTCGCTTGGTGTAAGGAAATACAAGTCGCTATTGGTTCCGTTGTACGCTGTATCTTTGGAAAAACCTCCCGTTCGACCTTCACTTGCCTGCGTTAACCCAAAAACAACAGTTTAATTGACATTTATTTGTAATAGAGACAATATGATGTTTTTCAGCTTAAACTGACATCATATTTGACGCTTTGGTCTTGGAACTACCTTGGAGACTTTCTTGTCTCTATGAATTAAAGTTTTTTTAAAGATACAGTTGAAATCAATAAGTGTCGATGGAAGTGAAATGCGTTTATGCTAGCCTATTATATTTGTGATTAAATCAATAAATTCTAAAGTCATAGATTTAAATTGAAAGTTACTTCATTAAAATGACAGCTCGTATTACCAGATACCATAGTCATGTTACAAACTAAAAAAAAATTCTAGATCTGAGTTTCATATACTTACGGTCCTTCCCATGGGAGTTGTAGCATCACCCTGATACTTTAGGTTATAGGGGTTCCACTTTGATAATGGAGTTAGGAAGATGATCTCTAGAGGAATGGCATACGACCATTTCTGACTGTAGTCCGTACATTGCTCAACTCTTCTCATTCTACCAAGGAAATCTTTGACTCTCACCTAGAGGGTGGCAATATAATGTATATCTTCATATTAAGCTTACTCGCACGACGTTAAACTAAGTTCACACCAACGGCGCTTTGATGGCGCTTTAATGCTTTTAAGCTTTAATGCTTTTAAGCGCCATCAATGCGCCGTTGGTGTAAACTTAGCTTTATCAGCAAGATCTATTCACCAGTGATTTCACCTGTTAAACATTTCTATGTTCATTATAACGCTAAATTAGGAATAAATTAAATTCTATGATATTAAAAACATTGTATGTTTGGCATAATTGCTATAGAAGCATGGGACAGTATTTCTCTTTGAATTTCAAAAATATCGAACTGTGCGAGGTCAAAGGAGTTGACTACATGGGGGGGGGCAATTGGAGTTGGACTCTTGCCATGTACGTTCGGTTTGCCCTCTCGATCAAGGTTCCTTATAATTACCTTCTTGCAATCTCTCACATTCATTCCAAGGACGTCAGGTTGTGAAGTCTGCGCCATATAGAGGGATGCGTCCGCGTATCCTCTGTGCCGCACTTGCGTCCCCATGGCGTCTCTTTTCTCAACACGGAATGCTCTGTGGTAGTAGGCGCTGTTGATGGCTGGACTCATTGGAGCCAAGCCATGTACAGGTAGACCAAAGGCATCATCTGTAAGTTTACCTTGGTAGTTGTCCTTTCCTAAATAAAGAATTGATTTATACAGTGTAATATAGTTATATGTATTTAGTGGTGTGAGACCTTAATTGATAACTGGGGAGTTATATACATACATGTGCGACATCCGGTTTAAAGAATATAGAACAATTTTAAAGTTGTAATTGCTGTTTTGTTCTATACATTATATGATACTTTACATAGTTTCACAAAATAAACAAATAATTGAACAAAAAGTTCATGAACGAACGAACGCAGTACGTACCCACGCAAGCACGCACGTACGAACGAACGAGCAAACTGACGAACGAAAAATTAAACGAACGTATTCACTGTTCCACAACTGGATGACTCTAACTGCAGTTAGCTTCATTCAAGATGGTTGACAAAATTCGTTCGTTTTCGATAAATCTCCAATTACAGCCAAACCAAGCTGAATCTTGATCCCAAAAGTTTCGCCATGCAAACTAATAAAGATATAATTGTAAACAACCACAAATAAAGGCTCAAGCACCCGCGATATTAGAGAAATTGAAAGAAAACAGCTTCACTTAGAATGACTCTAACTGAACTTAGTGATGACGTAGGAATGAAGCTTACTGAAACGGGGAATGAAGCTAACTCAATGGGATGAATATATGGACGGCCCTGTCTGTTGTTATAAGATATCTAAATGTTATTGACTGTTGTTATTGGTTGTAACCATTTGTATTTTGACATGGAGTGAGTTTCTATTCAATCCCATGGCCGGTGATCGTAGAAATTGGACGGAGGGGGAGCAGACAAATTCTGGTAGAAATTTCAACAAATCTGGAAAATTTACTTTTTCAAGGCAAAATTTAGTTTACGATTGAATGGCCAAATGAATAGGCTTACGGTATGGTAAAATATTGTAAGTATTCTAGGATTAAAGTATATGATGTAAAAGGCGAAATGCCGCAAACGTCCGAAAGTCAATGTTTTGCTAGTCAAGCAAGAATGGTCTACACAACCTGTAATTAAAAAACTTGTAAGTGACATTATCGTCACAAAATTAATGTCATTGCTGAGCAATTAAGTTCCCATACGTAATATAAAAAACAATTGAAGGGGCGGAGGGGGGGGGGCAATATTTCTATTATTCTTCTATTACTATTTTTATTTCTATTACAACTTCACGAAAATTCTTGTATTTCAAAAATGAACTCATAAAACGTACAATGTAATATGAAGCTGGATTTTACAGCTCTGAAGAATGAAAAATGGGGAATTTTAAGTTATAGGACTTCAAGTCTAGAAACATCTCTTATCATGTCTGATATACATAAATGCTCCCCGATGCTCAATAAATAAATGACTTATCCATCACAGATAATCGTCACATTTTTTCAAGTAGACTAAATGAAGTGGGAAAACCGACTGCGTTCGTATCGACTGTACGACAATATATACAGGATCATGTTCCCCCTGGGACTATTAGACATTAGTCAGTTACTGAACATGTCCCTCCATTAATTCACCCGTCCCCTTCTTGGCGGTACCAGGCTAGGCGTATACATGTACTGATAACATGCATACCAGCATACAAATAATTCAAGGGGTAGGCTGCAGTGATACTTCAAGACTTGAGTGACTTCGTTAAGATAAAGTAGCAAATGTAGGCTAATGACGTACTCTTTGTCGTTATTTACGGTAGTCTAGTGTAAAACCAAACTTTCCATAAATTGGACAAATATTGTGCTTTTGTGTTCTATCAACAAGCTAAATGATTTTAATTTGAAATATACTTAAATAGTAATTATATTTAGTTTATGTAACTGGTTTCACGACCATCAATCATTTATGTATACGGAGTAGCAGAATGTGAGTGTCATCTCCCGGGTAAAATAAAGGCATATTTTCTGCACTAAACGAAAACAAATCGTGTAATGCCGCTAAAGCCTGTATATTATAATTGGTTGGAAGTTTTTTCAAGTGAGTTTCAACTATTATTCAATATATCTTAACTGTAGTACCGTAATTAGCATAAAGCATGTTTTTGATAGACGTAATCATTATTTTCTTGAATTTTAACACTGAATCTCACTCAACCGGCATCGTTTGAACCACATCATTTATTTATGCGGAGTGGCTCCAGGACCGACAATTGTCGGTACTGGAGACTGTCCAGGGGTATTTGCTGGGGTACCGACAATTGTCGGCACTCTATCGTCACCTAGTAGTGCCAGATAGAGAACCGACAGTTTAAAGCTCTTTTCTTGTTCTATCTAATGGGTCGATATATACAGTTAGGGGAGGGGATGCTTTCGCCCCCGTCGCTCTCTACACTTACTACGCCATGGCACAGGAGAAATATCTCATTTGGAATATATCACTGTTTACTTTGCGTTTGGTAGCTCTCTCATGCGAGATGGAATCGTGGCCATTAACTAAGGGAGCCAAATGCAACTTCCATCAAAAATTGTGCTATAAGGTATGAGTACCGTAATCCAACACCAAATTCGAAAATTCATAACAATACTTTGCACATATGGCGTTCGTGACCAACCATTTGAACCGCTTACCCCCCATAGTGTTATATATATGCACCTGTCCATATAGGGGTTCGATTGACCTACATCAAATTATAGGGAGTCAGGTTACTTTTTGAGATATCAGCGCCCATTTATTGTAACTCGCGTTTGCTACCGCTTCCTCAATTCTGATATGACGGGCAAACGCGTAGTAAACATGCTCACGTTCGGAACTATTTTGACCTACATCGCTATTTTCGTAATTCAAATGAAAGTTGAACTCCTCCTCTTTATTTTGATACCAAATAGTGGCATACTAGGTACCCTAGAAGCCAACTATGGGTTATTTAGAACGATACCACAGGTTTTTAAATGGACTATATAGGGGTCATACCTTTTGGCGGATGGATATGGAACCTCATACCATAAGCTTCAAATAAAAAACATTCTAGCTATTTTCTTCTATCTAATGGGTAGCAAACGCCCCTTTCTACGCCTGATCGGCTCAGGAGAAATATCCCGTCTGTTTAGAATATGGTCGTTAGAATATATATAGCCGTTTACTCTGCATTAATAGCTCTCTAACGTCTTACTTGTTCATGTTTTTTATTGGGTTTTCAACGTTTACTACCATTCCCTGTTCCCGGGCTACCATTTTTTGACTTGGTTTTGTAATCCCCGGGTAACCGGGGCTAATGCCCTCCCCGGGTTTTGCACTTGTTCCCAAAATATCCGTATGATATCTGAAATATCCCCCCGCGCATTGCGCATGCGCCAGAAAATTCGAAAATCAATATTTGTCGGTCCTCTAGCGTGTAAACACAGCATATCTCCCGTACCGACAATTTATTTGTCGGTCCTCTAGCGTGCCACCATATCAGAGTCTTGAGAACCGACAATTGTCGGTACTCTAGCCTTTTATTTATGAACCTTCGTCACAAGCACATGAGCAAATTTAAATTATAAAAGTTGAATGAAAGTGATTTATTTCTAATTAAGATCACATGAAACCTGAATTTGTCTGTATATCCATCATTCGTTTACAATTTAGAATGATAATATTCCCCGGTGCTATTCGAATCGGGGAGGGGGGGGTGCTTTTTGATAGTTTTGTTTAGAAAATCGTGCGAAAAGTGCTCAGAGTGGTGAAAACCTGCGGGAATTTGAAATAATTTCTGGCCAGGGAGGGGGAAACTACCGAACCTCCAGCTTCCCCTGGTTACGGAACTGCTTATTGGTAATTTGTATAGCCCATTATAAATCTCCATTCAGTTAGAGTCATCAATGGTGAAAATCTGTGTTGGAGTTAGCTTCATTATCAACCTCAGTTAGAGTCATTCTAAGTGAAGCCGTTTTCTTTCAATTTCTCTAATATCGCGGGTGCTTGAGCCTTTATTTGTGGTTGTTTACAATTATATCTTTATTAATTTGCATGGCGAAACTTTTGGGATCAAGATTCAGCTTGGTTTGGCTGTAATTGGAGATTTATCGAAAACGAACGAATTTTGTCCACCATCTTGAATGAAGCTAACTGCAGTTAGAGTCATCCAGTTGTGGAACAGTGGTATTACAACGAACACAAGCAATCAAACATGAATTTCTACCTGGTATCTCTTTGAATATTTCATCAAGAAGGTTTTCTTTGTAGAACCGCTCCTGTGGCCAATTAGCACTTGGTCTAATATTAAGCTGGAACCGAGCGGCGGGTGAATCACCATAAGACTTGTAATCAGCATCATTTACTACTCGAGTGGCGAGGTCATCAATTGGACGGAAAAAGTCAGGATGAATATCGGCTTTAATTGGATGGCATGCAGTTCTGTAGTTCCATTGGCCAAAGATGGGCGTACGGTCGATGATGTTCATGATTTTAACAGGGCGATATGGGTGGGTGTCTCCCCCAGCGTCTCTGCCTGAGTATGACGTAAACTTGCTCATGTACTAGAATGAAGAGAAAATACACATCAGTTGTTGAAATATAGCAAACCCTTTTCTGTGTTACGACTTACGAATAATTTCAGGGTTGATCCCAAAATTTAGACTCGGGGTCAGTCTAGATCTCCCCTTATACTTGTATAAATATAATATAAATATGATACTATGACAACGGCAATTGATTAAACAAACAGCAGCCGGCAAATTTAATATATCAGTGAACCAGTTCACGAAGCAAGCCTGGTAGCGATTGAGAAAATATAACTTAAGACAGATTAGTCACAGCGGCACTTATTAAAGCCGTTGCCACTTGCCATGTAAGTTAAAATTTAAGACAATCGCTAAAACCCCATTGCATTCGTTTTTGAGAGTATCAAAAAAATATGTTGGTTCAGTGTAATTTGGCTGTTGACAATATATAACCCCTAGATATAAAATCGATTGAATGATGTTAGAAAACTCTCGTCACCTGCTCTTCAAGGAGTTCATCAAATTCTTCAATAGTCTCAGGGTCGATCCTAGTCCATGCACCTTCAAGGTAACAAAGGACAGGTTTGAAAAACTTCTTCCATGCCCTTTCACCTTGGGGAACTTGGTTTTTCCAAGCCTACAAAATGACGAAGCATTATGTGATACTGGCATACACGACTAAATCTCAGTCACAGTTTGTCTACGGCGGCCGTTGGTGACCGTAGCTTCACAAAATTGATATAGAATCTACATCGTATCCTTACATTTTATGCTACATATTTCTGTCAATTTTCGGTAGCTACGGACGCCATACGGTTGCCGTACATCAGACGTGACTGAGGCATTGCACACGTCGAAATAGTTAAGATTACTTCCTTTTGAGTATACCCTAATTCTCGATATTTGCCGCTCTTCATACACGTGTTTAATACAGTACGGTTGCTGCCACGGAAAGGAAACGTCCATACAATATATTAGCAATTGTCTTAGTAGATAGATGTTTTGCTAACTTAGTCAATTTCCTTGCATAAGCATCCTTTTCTCGAATGACGGTCGTATAAAAAAAACACTCAAAAACGCCCATAAGCTTTTTAAAAGATGGCCATTTTTTGTAAAGCCTATTTGAAAAGAAACGCTCATGGGTCTATATGCGGGAACCTCTGGTTCTAGTTACTGGCTGCTTTTCACCAACCTTAAACCATTCCTTCATCTCAGTGATCTGTTCCTGTGTGGTGTTCTTGTTCATAACTCTAAAAGGAACGTCTGGAAGAGGAATGTCTTCAACTGCATGGAGGTCTTTGGTGGTTCTACTGGGCATGCGCACAGCGTAGTCGTTGTGGCTTGTCTTGAACTCAACGCCATTGATTACAGCAACGAAATCATCCAAACCTATAGCGTGTGCAAATGATGGCCGTTTTACAAACTACTAGACATACAATAGAACAGACTACTAGTATACAATTGTAGACCTCTCTTGGGGTCAACTGGCAAATTTGTATAGGCTTACCGATACTGTAAACCTTTAAGTACTGTTGACCGAGACCGGAGGTATACACTATTGCCAGTTAACCGAATAGAGAGGTATTGTTAGCCCGAAGAATATTATCATTGGAAGGATATATAGAATACCACGTGAAGATATTTGATAAGTGGATCATCATATCACATTTTAACAAAACATCCCCCAACCGTCGGTTATCGCTTCTTAATAAAGTGTCAAAATTTGCTCAATTTTTTGTCAAAATCGGTCAACAGAACCTAGTTGCGCGGTCAACAGTGCATATTGCTGAATTTTAGTTAACAAATCAGAATTGAGTATTTCAATTAAGGTACTAACAATATTTTTTTGAGTAGTTAGTTGATATTAATTTTATGCATCAACATGGACTGCCTATAACATTTTGGTATTGATGACTTAATTATAAGTCGTTCTTAAATGTTTGAATTAATTTAAAGCTATGATTACCAACGACGCTTTTCTTCTCTGGGTGATCATGCATGCCGAAGAGGGACTCGGCAGCAATTGAAGGTGAAAAATACGATTTAGACCCACTCTGGGTGTTCCTCATTTGTTTGAGTCCAGAGTCACCGTCGCCTCGGATGCGCTCCTCGACGAATAGCTGCTGTAACATCAATTGCCTCCCCATACTATCGATGGTCCTTTTCAGGATATCATACTCTGTTTCAGGCGCAGGTGTTGGGCAAGGCGCTTTGCCTTTGGCTCCACATCCCTTTCCCTTGGCTCCAACTTTTCCTTTGCCCTTAGCTCCACTTCCCCCAAGCTGGTTCAGAATCCCCAACAAAGGATTGTTCTGAGCATAGGTTACTGTGGCGCACAGGGTTACCAACGCGAGAAGTTGTAACCACCTCTGCAAATGATAAAGTTAAAATTTTTATTAATTTAATCTTAATGGCAGAAAAAGTATGTTGAGAATAACAAACTAATTTTATGGCTCGATTCCCAGCGGAGTCAGCATGTGGCAAAAATGACTTATTTTAATTTGTTTTTGTTTATTCTTAGACTTTGCATGCAAATCGATATTATTTTGTTATCCATTTTGGTGTTGTTTGTGAAAATTTGTTTACACCATTCGAAACTATTGAATATTGAAACCACTACAGGAAATATGGTGATATAAGTGTCCTTTTCATGTTAAACTTTTGAATACAATTTGTTCAATTCTCGTCTCATTTTATCCACAATTTGTGTTCCTAAATTAAATTGAATTATTTGATAACAATATGTATGAAAGGTTTTACTCCCAAAATCGCAGTTTAAATACATTTTTGGTCTTACCATGTCGTTGTCATTAGCCTATATGAACTTATTCGAGACTCGGCTGGAAGGTAAGGCGTCATATCAATAGATAACGAGTTTAGATAAGTTAAGGAAATGTAGAAATTGATAACAATTTCCTTGGCAGTGTGTGCATAAAGTGCATATTATATATATGCATATATTTTGAATATTGATGTATAAATGGTATATATATGGGACATGATCATGAATCAGTATAATCTCTTTACTATCGCTATAACAAAATTTCTGTATGAAAGTATTGAAAATATCCAGTTATGTAACTTATACCAGGACATTTTAATAAGTGTCAACAAATAAGTAATTCCAAAAAATGTCATTTAATTATTAAGGTGCGGCAATAATGATCGTGTTGTAGGGTGGTAATAGAATGGTTTTAATAAGGTTTTAATAAGTTGGTAATGATGTAATGTGATGTAATGTGGTTATAATGTAATATGATGTAAGGTGGTAACTATGCATTGTTTTGTAATGTGGTACTGATTTGTAATGTGGTAATAATGAAATGTGATGTCAGGTGGTAATAATATAATATAATGTAAGGTGGTAATAATGCATTGCTTTGGAAGATGGTACTAATGTAATGTGATGTAAGGTGGTAATGATATATTGTTTTGTAAGGTGGTAATTATGTAATGTGATGTAAGGTGGTAATAATGTAAATAATGTATTGTTTTAAGGTGGTAATGATGTATTGTTTTGTAAGGTGGTAATACTGCATTGTTTTGTAAGGTGTAATGTGATGTAAGGTGGTAATTGTATTGTATCCTTTATTACCACAAGTATATATTGTGAGTACATTTACAATTTTTAAGTAATACATGTAATGTATTGTTTTAAGGTCGTAATGATGTATTGTTTTGTAAGGTGGTAATAATGTATTGTTTTAAGGTGGTAATGATGTATTGTTTTGTAAGGTGGTAATACTGCATTGTTTTGTAAGGTGTAATGTGATGTAAGGTGGTAATGATGTATTGTTGTGTAAGGTTAATAATGTAATGTTTTGTGGTAATAATGTAATGTGATGTATGGTGGTAATGAAGGATGTATTGTGTAGAAAATCGTGGTAATTCTCTTGCAAAATCGTAAAATGTTTTGCTCTAAAATATTAATTATTCGATGTGTATTCACTGTAATCGGAGACTTGGTTACAGGATGAAAGCTGAGCCTGTGTGATTGAGTTGGTCATAATGTGATGTGTTGTAAAGCAGTAATGTACTTGTTACAAATGATAGTTATATGAATCTTGTTGTTATATGGTAATAACTTGTAAAGAGTGACATCTTTAGGTGTCCAATTAATTGTGTTTGTATTAAATTGTATGGCTATTGATGTAATAATCCCGGGGAAATATCTACATTGTAATTTACACTGAACGAAATAAAAATTCGGGCGTGTCATAAAGAGCTCTTTAACCACGGAGTTGCGAAAAGTTGCAAAGATTTTGGTAAGTTCTTTATGCTTTTAAACTCTGTTATTACTCAATATACGAGATATAGTTGTAAAATGACAAATCTTGAATTTAGCTGAATACAATATATCTTAGTATTTCATGTTCAAAGTATCAAAATCGAGTTAAATCATCCCAAATTTGAACTTTCATTCTCTCATTTCCGCTGTAATTTATGCCAGCGGTCAACAGGGAAATGCAAGTGAAGTTGTAAACACTCAACGAGGTGAACCACAACTCTTTTATTGTACACGTTGTATTGTACACGTTGGTTCGATAATCCAAATTAACCCAAACTTGTATACACTGGCTTACAAAGTTCAATGGTCTTATACCTTTCCAGTTCATAAGTGATTGAGACATTTAGCAGATTACTTTGAAAACATCTAATGAAAGAAAAGCAATAACTGACCAGAATCCATTTCAACTGCACAGGCCTGTCAACCTGGGAACACCTAATAAGTGACTTACAAATGTTGAGCACCTACATGTACCTTCAAATTGTGAACACCTTGGTCCAAATCTGAAAACCCTGGTCCAATGCCTGTGAAAATTGAGATTTTTCGACATTCTTTTTTATGTTCTTCTCATGCAATATATTTGCTTGAAAAGTATAAGAAAAATATGTATAAAACAGAAGAATTTGAGGTGTCCAAACTTTGATAATATGCAATAAAATTTAAACCAACCCTTAAGAAAAAAGCCATGGTAACCATGGTATTCCATGGTGCGTCCATGGTAATCCATGGTTTTCCATGGAAATTCATGGTTTTCCATGTTATTTTCCATGGAAATTCATGGACGCCCATGGTAATCTTCCATGGATATTTACCATGATTTTCCATGGTAATTGGTGGTTTGATAATTGGTTTTTAATGGATGTGTCATGGGCGGCTTTTACCATGACACATGGAGATGTAAAATCAACAATTATGGTAGGATTCGTATTTACCAAAATCTCCAAAATTAATGTTTTGATGATATATCCCAGTTGGACTGAGACTTATCATAGAGAAAAAAAGGGTGGACATTTCATTTTTTAGGCTAGCAAGAACGTTCATTGAATGTTACTCAGCTTCCTTACAAATTAGAAATTATGTGAAAATTATATAATTTTTTATATAGAAATATGATAGTGCAGTTAATGCAGCACAGAGTAGGCCATGAGATTTCAAAAACAATTGTGCAAAGGGCTTTTGTGTAGATCAAGACTAGATAGAGATTGCTTATTTTTTAGGCCAAACACTTCTTTCCTTTGAAAAAGATTAAGTCAAACTAGCCCAAGCTCTGTTTTTATTTCAATACTTTCTTTAATTTTCAGTTTTAAAAATCAAAATGAAATAATTTAATAAATAATTTTTTTTAAATTACATTTCGTACATTTGAGAATACAATCAAAAACCATGGTTTCTTTCTTTGAAGTTGAGGAAACTGTAATCAAAAGCCATGGAAGTCGGTTGATTGCAATCGAAAGCCATGCTTTTCCATGATTATTTCTTTGATGTTTCGGAAAGTGCAATCAAAAGCCATGGTTTTCCATGGTTATTCTTTTGATCTATTGAAAGTCCATGGTTTTCCATGGGCTATTTGTTTGGTCTTTTGGATGCAGAAAAAAGAATAAAACATTTTGTTTCTAAATGAACTTCTCCAAATTAAGTCCCATTCAACCTTTATAAGAATATTATCTCTCAAATTAATGTTAAAAAATTAATCTCTTTGCAATAGATTATAATAGTTCATTTGCATAATTCTTAAATATTCTGATCTTAATAGACTACATGCGAGTAGAAATAATCTTGATTTACGTCATTAATATTCAAAATTCAGTCAAAGTGATGTCATATTTGAAATCTGCATGTTAATGTACATCTAGAAATATGGTTTCGAAAATTGTTAATCAACTTTGAAAATTTAATTTTTTTTGAAAATGTGACTTCTTGTTCGGGTTGATTCCTCATAGACCCCATGTTAGAAAATCACAAAAAGTGAATTATCTTTTCTTGTATTGGACAGATAACATTTTCTTTTACTGGACATATTTTAATTTGCATAACTATTAGATACATAAGGGTTATATGAAAATTGAACCACGCAAATAGATGTAATTTAAGTTAAAGGGAACTTTCTACTATACCCGCCATGCTCTCTGACCCGAACGAGCCACCTGGTGGTGAATCTGGTAACTACCTACTCGCATCTGCGTTATTGTTATTATATATGATAATCTTACTCTTTCTAATGCTCCCTCTTCAGTAATTATTATTGTCGGTGAGTGTAGACAGTGCAAGTCAAAAACTCATTGTTGATCAAATAAAACCAAATAGGATTTACTCCAAATAAAAATGTTTATTCAGTCTACAATAAGGGAATCCAGTGAGCTGATTTTATCACTTATTTTGTCTTTTTTTAACCAGTGCCAAAGTTAAATGAAAGCAAATCCCAGCAAACAAATTATTACATGTACTTGTAATTGTGGGGTCAAATCATCAATTAAAAAAATATTAAGTAAAAAGTTCTTTGTCATATGACACTATGTACAGAATGTACAAACATATATTCAGATTGTAAAAACATGGTTGTATTTCAGGCCTGAAACCAGCTTTTGTCAAGAAGGTTGACTTTCTCAAAAAATTGAGGGGGAGGGGCGTCATATTCTTCTCTCTATGATTAGTCTCAATCCAGCTTGGTTTCATTCGTTAAAATATTGATTCAATTTTGAAGATTTTGGTAAAAACAAAACATGCCAAAATTGTTGATTTTACAACTCAAGTGTCATGGTAAAAACATGGCATGTCCATGAAAAAACAATTACCAAACCACTAATTACCACGGAAAATCATGGTAAATATCCATGGAAGATTACCATGGGTATCCATGAATTTCCATGGAAAATACCATGAAAAACCATGAATTTCCATGGAAAACCATGGATTACCATGGACGCACCATGGATTACCATGGACGCACCATGGAATACCATGGTTACCATGGCTTTTTTCTTAAGGGAAGGTGCTCAAAATGTGGCCAAGGTGTTCAGATTTGGACCAAGGTGTCCAAAATTTGAACAAAGGTGTTCAACATTTGCAAGTCACTCATGTTAGGTGTTCCCAAGTTGACAGGCCTTTGAGTAGCATGTAAGAAAATAGACTGGAAACTCTGCAAAAACATGCCTCGTCTATATAGTTGATTGTACCATATTTTATCTTATTTGTGTCCCTAATTATAATAGATATGATAAGGTTTCAATTGATATCATTTGTGCAAAATGTACTATCAATGGGTTTCATTAGCAGCAGGCAACAAGCAGGTTTCACCGCCTGTTGTTTTTAGAGACTTGTCAACTTTTCCACATTAAATTTATGATTTCCATTAATTTTGCGTGTTGTTTTCATAATTAAGCCTGTTGTGAGAAATATTAGTGAAACCCCTGTATCAGTAATCACCTCTTTCAGCTTATAATACAGGAAATATTCCACAAAAGGTAACATCATCAGCCTAACGCTTCATCATATGCTTTACAAATGAAACATTTTAATTGTTATTTCCAGACTGCAAATATGTACAAGGCTACAGCACCCTGAGAATGTGAGAGAGAAAGTGCTTGGAGCAACAGCGATATTAACATCTGTAAGTTGACAATGAGCCACAAGCTAGAACCCATTTTCATGTAATTTCTGAGAAAACTTGTAATTGTTAAAATTGTTCTCAAATACAAACTGATTTGAAAAAAAACTGTCGCTCATTGCTTGGTATATGATTTTCACCTTATTTTAACTGGATTATTTAAAATGTACCATTTATTATCTCATTCAGATGTATTATCTCATTCAGATGTATTATCGTATTATTTGGAATGTATCATCCTCTTACTTTCAATGTAATATCCTTTGGTTTCAGACCATCACTAATTTGTTTATCATCATACTATATCATATTTATAATTATAATTAATCATAATAAAATTTCAGATGCATCATCGCCATGTCGGCCACAATGTCAGCGTCTCCATTAATCCGGAGACAAGATGACAGGGATACAGAATTTTGGACTCTCATTAACGACCTCAGAGTGAACGGAAAACTGTGCGATATTTTGTTATCTGTGACTCGAAACGACGGAAGTGATGTTGAATATCCTGCCCATAAGGCAGTGCTGGCTGCATGCAGTCGTTACTTTGCGTCAAATATTGACGTGTTGGCTAGCGTCACAATTCACAAACTGTCAGAGATCTCTGAGCTAGGATTGAAGGCAGTTCTTGATGTTATGTATAGACAGGATATCCCAAAGCTGATTCTTGAGAGCACAGAGGTAAAACATTTTTTTTTTTTTTACTATTACATTATACTATTACAGTTATGAATACTATACATAACTGTAATTGTACATTGTATATAGTATGCCTTTATATAGATACATATATCCCCAAAATGCAATCTGTTTTCGCACCATTTCGGTGCCAAATTTTGGTGCCGTTTTAGCACCAAATGGACTGACTAGTCCGATGCCAAATTTTGGTGTCGAAAGGTTTCGGTGTCAGAACAGCGCCGAATTTTTTCGATGCCGAAACGGCCCCTAATTATATTGGCTGTGGATAATACGTTTTCATCCTCTAAATATCCATATATATCTCAATGAGTAATATCTTAAAGTTTTCAATATCAGCCTTAATATCAGGATTTAAGCCCTTGACTCCATGTGCATTATGGGCTGAATATCATTCTTCAAAAGTGTTATTTCAACCTTTGCACGAGATGCATAGCATGGAGTGTTGGGTTGAGAAAACTACCCCTGAGTGGAATGAATCCATCACAATGCATTGAGTCTTGGGCTGAAATTCTTTTCACATATTGCAAAATGTTTTATACAATATCTCTTAAAAGATATGAACTGACCTAAGAAAATATTTTCAAGGAAACTTTCTGCAAAGGTCAAGTTTTCACCTTGACAACCATTCAACACATCTAAAAATGACCTTGAGTGCATAAGAGAAGTATATTGCATGCAATATGTGGAATAGCATGTTCTGATTGGTTGGAATGTGACACGCCTTGCCTAGCTATGTGTGAAATTACTCTTAATTTTTTCATTTTTAGGTAAAGCATGCTGCTGAAAAACTGAAGATTGCCCTTCCTGACTCTAATCCAACTGTGGCAACTTATGTGGATCCTAACCCCCAGTCTCATCAAAGACCTGCTGATCCATCTATGCCGATGTATACAGAGCTTGCTCTTGGACTGATTCAAAGCTATGAACGTTCAGGTTTGGGTGACCCTGGGGAACAATTACAACAACAACAACAACATCAAGCACAGTTACAACCCCAACAAGCGCAAAATCCTCATATATGCACGCAAGACACTCATGTGACAACACAGAATACGTACACAATGAGTATGGGTACATTGGCTCCGAATCATCCTCAAAACCCATCATTTTCACCAAGTATGTACAGTGAATCTAGCTGGAGACCTGAGCTAAATGGGGGAAAGCCTGAGGTGGTTCATCATCATCAGAATAATCTTCCTTCCCATTTTCAACCAGTGCTTCCCCCTCCCTCTGTGCAACCACCACCTCAAAGTAACCATCATCAAATCCAAGAAATACCCAAACTACCCCCAATTCCCATGACAGGAGTTAAACCTGATGGGAGCTCAACTACCTCCTTTGAAGGAGATTCAATCCCAGAAGGCACCAAGAGAAAACCCCTTGCACACTTGGACTTAAGTATCAGTAAAGCAAGTCGGGCTAATCGACTCTTGAAGAAAAAGAAACGAAAGAATTATAAAGATCCTTTCCTTTCTGGTGAAGAATCAGATGATGAGATCTATAACAAATTTGCAATAAACAGAGCCGGGGATATCCGGCCAGCGAAAACTCGACCAAAACAGGGACACAATACAAAAGAAAAATGTACGATGTGTGGAAAAACATACAATCTGACAAATATATTAAGACATATCTGGCGCGCTCATCAGGTCGGAGACAAACCCAAGAACCCATTTATCAGTAAGAAGTTCCCATATAGGGCCCCGCTGGCAAGTAAGCCTTCATACTCTAAACGTCGTATAAAGGTGAGTTGTCATATGTGTGGCCTGGTGCTATCTCAAGCCTGTTTGAAAACCCACATTGAGAGAACCCATAAGAAGGTTAAACGACATGCTTGTAATGTATGCGGGAAAGGATTTTACGATTTGAAGAACATGAGAATGCATATTGAGCATGTTCACGAAGGAAAGCGGCCATTCAGTTGTGAAATATGCGACAAGAGCGTTGCTAGGTTACACACCTTACAGATGCATCTTGGGATACAACATGGCCTCAAATGGGAAAAATATGAACTTTTAAGGGAGCAAAATAAACTTGGTGAAATCAAGATGAAATGGCTTGAATCTGGGGGAAATAAATCACGCACAAAAACTGAACCAAGCAGAGGTAATTTCAAAAATAGGACGCCAGTTCCCATGTGGCCCGACCCCCAACCAGACCAGGTTGCGCCATCTATGGTGAATCTGCATGGGATACCAGTACAACCTCCTTCAGTGTTGAACCAATTTCCGCACCTTCAAATGAAAACAAGGGCGCCCCCTAGCAATAACCAACAGCGATACTCCTGCAACATATGTGGGGAATCCTACGCTACAAATGGCAGTCTCACACGTCATGTTACCCGTATTCACGAAGGCAATAAAAAATTTGCCTGTCAATTTTGTGGGCGTAAGTGCTTCGATTCTACGGCTTTGAAATACCACGTAATGACTCATACTGGTGAGAAAAACCAAGTGTGCCCAATGTGCCCTTATAAATGCATCAAAAAGGCTCAACTTATAGGCCATATTAAAACCAAGCACGAAGGTACAACAAAGAAACAGCAAAAGTTTGTCGTCGATCCTGAAGCTTCAAATACTTTTTTCTGTAACCAGTGCGATTTTTCGTCAAAGTATAAAGGAAGTCTGAAAATGCACATGATGCGTCTCCATGGAGACGGTACGCCACATGAAAATGTTATTTGTCCGGATTGCGGAAAATCCTTCAGATTTAAAGATGATCTTCATAAACACAATGAAAGGGTCCATTTAAAGATAAAACGAGTTCAATGCAAAGGATGTGGATGTCAGTTTTACACAAAACGTGATCTAGATCATCATAAATGTAAAGCCATGGCAACCGGGCTTCCACCAGTGCTACCATCTGTTAATATCATGGTTCCCCAGCAACAGTTGCCACAGCAACAACAAGTGATAAACACAACACATCACCAACAGCAACAGCTAATACAACAAGGCACTGCCAATGCCCATCCTGTACTAATTCAACTGCCACCAATGCAACATGACATATCACAGCAACCTGTCACAACACAAGATCTTAGTGGTCTGTAATAGAATTGTATGTCACAGCAACCTGTAACAAGACAAGATCTTAGTGGTCTGTAATAGAATTGTATGTCACAACAACCTGTAACAACACAAGATCTTAGTGGTCTGTAATAGAATTGTATGTCACAACAACCTGTAACAACACAAGATCTTAGTGGTCTGTAATAGAATTGTATGTCACAACAACCTGTAACAACACATGATCTTAGTGGTCTGTAATAGAGTTGTATGTCACAACAACCTGTCACAACATAAGATCTTAGTGGTCTGTAATAGAATTGTATGTCACAACAACCTGTAACAACACAAGATCTTAATGGTCTGTAATAAAATTGTATGTCACAACAACCTGTAACAAGACAAGATCTTAGTGGTCTGTAATAGAATTGTATGTCACAACAACCTGTAACAACACATGATCTTAGTGGTCTGTAAAAGAACTGTATGTCACGACAACCTGTCACAACACAAGATCTTAATGGTCTGTAATAGAATTGTATGTCACAACAACCTGTAACAACACAAGATCTTAATGGTCTGTAATAGAATTGTATGTCACAACAACCTGTAACAACACAAGATCTTAATGGTCTCTGTCACAACAACCTCTTACAACACAAGATCTTAATGGTCTGTAATAAAATTGTATGTCACAACAACCTGTCACAACACGAGATCTTAGTGGTCTGTAATAGAATTGTATGTCACAACAACCTGTAACAACACAAGATCTTAATGGTCTGTAATAGAATTGTATGTCACAACAACCTGTAACAACACGAGATCTTAATGGTCTGTAATAGAATTGTATGTCACAACAACCTGTCACAACACGAGATCTTAGTGGTCTGTAATAGAATTGTATGTCACAACAACCTGCCACAACACGAGATCTTAGTGGTCTGTAATAGAATTGTATGTCACAACAACCTGTAACAACACAAGATCTTAATGGTCTGTAATAGAATTGTATGTCACAACAACCTGTCACAACACGAGATCTTAGTGGTCTGTAATAGAATTGTATGTCACAACAACCTGCCACAACACGAGATCTTAGTGGTCTGTAATAGAATTGTATGTCACAACAACCTGCCACAACACAAGATCTCAGTGGTCTGGTATAGAATTGTATGTCACTACACAAAATCTCAGTGGGTTTTAATGGAATTGTATCTCAGAATAATCCTGGAATTGAGTGATTTCTGCTTGATTTTGTCTGTAGCAAATGGCAGGTGGTGACAGTCTGCTTATGCTACAAAATCCATTTAGACCAACGAGTAAAAGTAGTAAACAATATGGGTTAAACTACACATTTTTAAGAGAAGTTGTTCGTGAAGGAGTAGAATTATGTTCCTTTTGTGAATAGTTTTGTGATTTTTACTCCCCGATGGAGTGTAAAAGTATAAAGAAAAGAGTTGGATTTAGGTAGTCCCTGTGGGAAAAATTTGAGCGCTGGAACAGTTATACCAGAGAGTTATCATACCACAGGGTCGTGCAAGTTCTCTTAAAACGTGTAGCGATCGTTTACAAATGCATGACGTTTATTATACTAAGAAAGGACAGTTATTTTACTACATTATGGTGTGGGATAATATGAACATAAAAGCAATATTTAAATGTATTTATTCAACATTTGGAGATTTGAATCTTCGTAGTTGTATTTATAGGTACATATGTGAGTTTCTGGTGGTTTGTACCAGACCCATAAACAGTTTTCATCAGGAGGAGCGTCTTATTTTTCTGTGGGAACTAGAAGTTATTTATTATTTTGGCAAAATCAATTTTGCCCAAAAATTCCAGAGCCCCTGGTTTATGGGCAATTAGCATTTGTATGTATGGATATTAGTTTATACACTTTGCGCAATGAAATTGCCAATATATCAATTTATGCAATACTATAATGTTGATCGTTTTAATTTCAAAATGTTATATTGAATTTCACAGAGTTGTTCACTAATTGCTCAAATTGAGTGGCGGATAATCACATTCTGCCTTAACCAAGAGCAATTAGAACAATATATTTGCAATTTTTCAAAGTATGGTGTCTTACATATTAATGTTTGAATATTATGAATACATTAGAAAAAAAACAATATTTGTATGTTTTTGTTTAAAGTGATTTTAACGATTTGGATGTAAACTCGCTTCCGAAATCTTGGAAACCCAAACTCTCTTATTATTGAACATTGTGTAAAAAACTGTTTTCATTATTCGACCTGTTGAATTCTTTCATGGACTTCCAATATGGTATATTATAACATACCTATGATGATGTATAGTGCAAAGAGTACACAAGACAGCGGGCCAATATAAGTTTTGAAAAGCCCGCGCCCGCTAACTTTCTGATTGGTCAAGGCGCTGACGTCATAACCAATCAATCGAAAGTCATTTTCAAACCATTTGTTTGTCAATTCTATAAGAAAACGGTACTCTCTGACCAGTCTACATCATCATAGGTATGTTATAAATCGTTTATGTCACTATCGTGGCACATATGCCCTCGGTTCTCAGAGATCAATGTCCCTCCCAAGGTCGGGCCATATATCACTGACACCTCGGGCATGTATGCCACGATAGTGACATAACCTCTAATTATCAACTTTAAACCTTTAATGAGTATCGCCTTTGGTTATATTTTCAATTGATACGGAGGAAATGTATCATGTTAACCTCTTGACTACCCAGAATGACGAGATGCATCTTAACTTGTATAGGTATGTAGTAAAATGTCAAAAGGTGGCAAAAATTAAAAAGTTCTCTGGTTTCAACCGATTTTAGAGCCTGGGATTCAAGAGGTTCAAGTATTTTAAGAATATTAAAAAGATCAATTTAGATGAATTTTCTTGAAAGCCCATGATTAGCATCCTCCTAAACCGATGTTCAGAATCCCGTTAGAGCTCTGCGAACGGAGGATGTTAATATGATGAACAGCTTTAATCACGCTATCCAATAACACCGTCCGTTTATGACCTAATCCGCGGTAATGAACTTGTTGACATTACCACGGAATCTTATTGATCATTTTAGTAAAAATGATGGCCTTACCCTGCGGAAATGGAGATAATGTTCCAATGCTTAACGTTTGAAGAGGAGTGTAGAGAAGTGCCATTGCCCTACAAAAGATGTCGCATGGTGCCGAAATCAGTCCATTATGTTTATATCACGAGTCCAGTATACGCCCGTGTACGTAAATCATGCTAAGAGCCAATACACTGGTGATCCACTCGATTACGCTGGTTACCGAAACGAACAAAATGTCGGAACGTCAAAGCTACGATTTTTCTTTTTTCCTTATTTCACACCTTGTAGGCAGAATTCTCACGACATTTTTAATACAAACGTGTATTAGTAACATATGTTTAAGAAAATGTACACATTTGCGAACAAATAGTTCAGTAGACAACAGAATAGTCGATTCAATTCCTAACTTAAGTTACAGAAACGGTATTTCAAAAAACAGTTAAGATCTGCACTTTTAACCCAAACCGTTTCTGTAACTTAAAGGCAGAATCAGATCTATAGGGGGTGACAAAATTACAAGCAATGTGTATAATTGACCTACCAATCTATTCCTTACAATATCAAATACAATATCTCCCAAAAGATTAACAATATGTTGTAAAATGGTGAAGTTATTAATGATTCAAAGTGCAAAAATGGTTGAAAAATGTTTAAATTCTCCCAAATAATAAGAATGGTAACCATTCTTATAGAAAAATAATACATTATTGTAAAAATATTTCGTTTTCCTTGAATAAAGTATGCACTTTTGTGATTTTTAGAAAATAGACATGACAAGGAATGACATGAGCCAAAAATATTCTAAAATTGAAACAATTTTTCATTTAGCATGCTCGCCATATCTGATTCTCTCTTTAAGTGAGGAATTAATTCGACGATTCTGTTGTCTTCTGAGCTAATTTTTCGCAAACATGTACATTTTCTAAAACATATGATACTGATACACGTTTGTGAGAAAAAACGTCGTGGGGATTCTGCCTACAACGCATGAAACAAGAAAAAAGAAAAATCGTACCTTCGACGTTCCGACATTTTGTAACCGGAACGAATCGTTTCGGTAACCAGCGTAATCGAGCGGATCATCAGTGCAATATCCCCATGTTAGACAAAGTGGGGTTGATTGGAAATGTATGTTGTGATAAAACGGGATATTGTCGCAAACAACTTGAAATCCACAGTCTATTTGATTATTGTCAATAAATCACCTCAAAAATTAAATTAAAATGAATTAAAAACAAGTTGTAGATATACTAGAACCGATTATGTCATTATTACTTTTTATACAATAGTTATTCATCATAGGTCATAGGTACTAGACTGATTAGTATAGATGACAGTGCAGTTTATGTGAAATGCATGGACGAAACATGCCATCTTTCAATTCATCTAGTATGACATGATTTTAACCATGTACATCTGGATACCTACCCCACTCATTGGGACGCATTTGAGAAAATTGGGAGCAACGGATGACTGGTGACAACTTCCAGGTTTGAAGACGGTCCCTAGTTGTATCATCGGGAGTACCCAGTTGTGTCTATAGCTATGTACCACATTATCTTGGACTTCAGTGGTGGAACCAGAAATTCACAAGGGGGCCAATTTTTAGTCTTGAAAAAAATTAAGGCCGGTGTAAAAGAAATTATGGTCCCTTTCTGAAAGGCCCTTACTGGCCCTGATTGTGGATACGATAATAAGGGAAAGAGTTGTATTTAGGTCACCATATAAATCAATGGAAAGTAGGACCATAATTTGAGAGGACCTCCTACCCTTTTACACCTGCCATTTTTTAATAAATTGGCCAAAAAGGTCATTTTTAGGCCCTACAAATTTTGGGGCCCTAAAGCCAAACTTTTTGTCAGAGGGCTCACTAAAAGGGGGGGGGGCGGGAGAAAAATGTGCTTGAGAAAATGTTCTGTAGGAGTGCATCAAGAAATCAGAAGTACTAGGCGTCAGTCATCTGCATATTACAAATCGGTAAAGGATCTTGCAGAGATGTCTTAGTAGCATTATTTTATAAATCGGATAAAGATGATTGACAATTTTTGATGGCACGGACATTTTTGTATGTCAGGAAGGTCGCCGTATGTCAATTTGCAAGCTGTTTGATATGTCAACGTCAAGGTTTTATTGCAGATATGTTAGTCCAATGTCACTTGAAAGTGTTAGTCCCTGGGGAAAAAATAGTGTAAAAACAATTAAGAATTCCATGTTGACAAGTGATATCTAGCTGGACCTGTGAATGTACAGAGTGACTCCAAATGCAGCCCTCTATATTATATTTATAGAATCAATGTCAATTTATGACACAATCTGACGGCCGTTTTTAATTATGCTTTGGGTGTTGACTTTTTGTCTTATCCTGTTTAACTGATGTCGATTTAAATCACTTCATGGGCGTAGCCAGCAATTGTCAAGGTGATGCGATTTTTCATACATCAATGCGGGCGGATGCTTTTTTCTTTTTTTTGTGGGGGGAGGCGATCGCACCCTTCGCATTCCCTCCTCCCCTTGCTACGCCCATGAACTGTACAAAATTGCAATTCTATTATTTGACATAACAAACTCCATTTTTTCAACTGTAACCATATATCTATTGTAAAAATCTAAACTTCATCTATAATCAGTATATACAAAATCGAGAGCTAGCATCAGAGGAATAAAGAGTGACATTCTTGCGATACTGTCATTTAGCATTTTAAAAGTGACATCTTACGAAAGAGCCACGAACTCAAATGGTGAAGCTGATTTGTAATCTACACTGTAGAAATCAAAAATAAATTAGCTAATGTACAAAGTTATTCTGCATAATCTATAAACCATATCAAATCGCTACACCGATTGATTACCGTATACCCTCCCTCGTCATCTCAACCCCAAGTCAACTTAACCCAGTAAAACTCAACCCTGGTAAAACACAAAGATGACTTGGGATTGAGTTAACTTGGGGTTGAGATGACCTGTCACTGCGTATACAGTGGCAATTGGGCCAAAACAATGAGCCAGTGTGTTTTGAAATTGTTGAATCTCGCCATTTACTTGAATCGCACAATTGTGTCATCTTCTACATCTAAAATTCTAGCTTTAGTTGATACTAAATCAATGTCTGTAAATACACATAGAAGCTCGACTTTAAAAATCTTTAGGTACTTCCTGAAGTGACAACAAAGGATACAGAATACACAGCCAATCCAAACCATGTGCAGCACTGTATGAAAGAGCTCCGTACAGCGCTGTTGCTCGAACAGCTTGCAGCGCGGAACTCGAATGGTGTTAATACAGCGCTGCAAGATGAGAATGCGGATTATACATACTCAAGGCCATATTACCTTCATAGAGAGATATCCATCATTTAAAAAGTCATCTGTAACATTGAAGATGCAAAGGACGATTCTCGGTTTGGAGAACAGTCTCCTGGGCTAATATTTTTTTTCATGAAAAATATAGAAATATTACCCAAATTAAACTATGAATATTCAAAGGAGGACATTTAAATCTACAAGATGTAAAAATATCAAATTGGTCTGGAGCAGGGATAACGCTCAATTAGACCGATTTTAATAAAATACAAGTCTCGATTTGAGGAAAGAAGTTCATCAGTGTACTGCGCTAATATTTTTTTGAGAAAAATCTAGAAATATTACCCAAATTAAATTATGACTATTCAAAAGAGGACATTCAAATCTATATTATGTAAAAAAAATCAAATTTGTCCGAAGCAGGGATAATGCTCATTTAGATTGATGAACTTCGTTCTCCTAACCGAGAATCGTCCTTTGTTCAAATCAAAACGGCCACGTCAGAATTAATTCAAATTTAATGTTAAAAATCATGTCATTTTAATCAAATGAATTCTAAATAGCTGTCTGTATTCTTTGTTGTCTCTTACATTGCTGTTTTTAATATCATGTGTCTTTTTAAGAATCTTCTAATGAACGACTGTGCCGTTTACGACCCGATGGACCATAAACGTCATTTGGGCGTTCACCGTACCCCCAACCGTAATCATCGAACCAATAGTCAAAATCATATCTGTCCAAAACCTTATTAGGCTTTTCGTATATTCTATAAGAGAAAGTCCCCACTGAGGCAACTGCCAAAACGTCCATGAGAAACCCAACACTTTTTGGATTCTTGCCTCTTCCACGTCCATACCTGGGCCCTATCGGAGCGGATGACTCGTCTTCTTCATCCAAACTCTCGTCCCACCAATTAAACTCGGCCTTCCCTCCTTCTGCGATGGAGTCTGAACGCTTCGTACGTCTGCGAGGGTCCTTACCGGGGGCAATGTCACCCGGGCGTTGAATGTTTTTTGGTTTATGTCGACGCTCATTGAATACATCATCGTGAGCTTCATCTTCATCGTCATCCGTTTCAGCATCATCACCGGTACTAGATTTAGGATGTTTGGCAACTTTAAGAACTTTATCTTCAGTTATTGTTTCATCAATACGTTTTAATTCATCACCGGGTTCTTCCCACCATTTGAACTCTCCGAGTCCACCTTCCGCAATTGACGATCGACGCAACAGTTTGCTCTTTTTCGGCACTTTCGGCGATTCGTCTAAATCATCAGGGAGTTTGATGTCTGATTCCATTACAGTGTGACGTCTTGATGATAGCGCACCGTTAAAATTTTCAAAATGTTTATTCGGACTAGTTTGTCCGGGAATTCTCATCTTGTCACCGAGTGTCATAGACCTAAATAGTTTTTTCAGTCCTCTCGGTTTTGACTTTTTGTCCTTGTGATGGTCATCATGAGTGTGTTTATTATCAGCTTTATTATTACATTTATCGTAAACGTCATCATCGGAGTCGCTCAATGCATTAGAACGTCTCAGGCGCGGTTTGTCGTGCTTCGGTCGACACGACAGCGTCGCATTTGGTTCAGGGGTGATATCGTCGCGGTCGCTCATAATTGGCTCAGTCCAACATGTTATATCTTAATCCAGAAGTACATTAATTTTGTTATGAATTTTAGTTCCTCCAGTCTATAACACTACCTTTCGCGTTCACAACTGATAAATCAATTGCGCTATGCTATATCCTATATCACATCTGCCCTTGAAATCTGCAAGAACATTCGTTTTCACTCGAGATCTAGACTAAGAACAGTTGTCCAGATTTCCCCGGCCTAATTAGCTGCAAGAAACGGCAGGCCTGATGATATTCGCAGATAAACCTATCTATTGGTGGTAGACTTAAACTCGATAGTAATTACTTATTACATGCATTCAAAATCTTGCACCGAACAGGTTCTCACAGTAGTTCTGAAGAGAGTCTGTTTTTCTTTTGTTTTGAAGAAGTTTATAAATACAGCATCCTTGTTCCGGATGCCCAGTATGTGCCTATATTTACACGAACCTGTCCGGACCGTAATTAGCAAAGTTGTTATCGACCTTTAGCTCTGCGCTGGTGTTTCATCCCACCCGTCGAATTCATTTATTTACCAGCCTTGCTTTTTACCTCACAACAAGACGTTGTAATAAATATCCAAGAATGCCTATGTAGAAATTTTTCCAAGTTCAGATTCTCAAACTTCAAAGTTGGATGCCCCGCGATGGCGTTTCTCAACCGAGACCTTATATCGCATCCGGCAGCAGTTCTTATATCATTTTCAATACTTCCAGATGGTTTCGCTGTTAAAATTTCCAATTCGCGTACCAGATGTCGAATTTTTGAAATTGTTTTCGTTTCAGGTATTGGATTCACCGGATGCTGGTGTCAATCAAAGATCCAAATCGGTTTCCTGGAAGGTAACGAAAGGCCAGATTATGTAAACAGAATTTTATCCAGGTATAAAAAGTATTTACGTTGAAAGCAATCATCATTCCACAACATCGTTCAGGTGAAAGTTACCTTGTAAAACATTTCAAGTACACATTTCTTGATTTACAATGTACAATAAATCATTGTATAATATGTCTCTGTTGCAACAAACCTGCCACATTTTCGTCATCAAAAAAGCTATATGATATACTATCGATTGTCATTGATTGTAAGAAGCATTTTATTCAGCAAAAGTAATCGTGACGTATTGCTAATTTTGGAAATGTACTAGCAATAGATTTATCAATCTCTCCAATATATCATAACTTCTTTGATTTACAGAAAGGTGGCAGGATTTAACTGAAAGGATTGTGATATTGCCAAAAGAGGCGGGAAACTGATTAAATTAAAGGCACCCAAATGAAATAAGCAATGATATTGCTTATTTTATAATAACGCATATTTTAAATGGTTACATAATGTTTGATACTTTTAATTAAACTATAGTTTTTTCTCTTGCCGGAATTGTAAAGCATATCCCAAAACATAAATAACTTGAAATGAATATGGCCAAAAGAGGAGAGGGGAGAAAGTATAATAAACATTTATTGTATTTTGTATATGAGATCCAAAAAACATGAAATACACAATATTTTCATGCATTAAGGGATGAGAATACATTACTTTCTGAGTCAAACTATAACCTTTCTCAAGATAATGTATTCCTGTACTAACTGAGTTTGGAGCAAACAAACAAGATCTAATTGACCCACGAAACACCCCCATCCCATAAAAGCGATTCTAGTTCTTTTACAAAATGCTAACAGACCAATAAATCAATCAGAAGCTAAATAAAAAAGATAAATAGCATTTAAAAACCTAAATATAGCGCAGGATATCTTATTTTAAAGAATAAATCCAACATATTGATTAGATGCGAAGGGGGTTGAATCCATCAATTGAATTGCAATATGTTTAACAAACACAGTGTTTGAATTACTAACATCTTCGATGTATTTATACATTTCGGCAAGTTTATAATTACTACCCTGCTAGGCATGGTTTCTATATCAATTAGTTTCTTTTTTTTCTTTTCAAGAGTACTTATTTCCGTTGTCACCTATATCATAATTTTAACGTTTAAAGGTTTAGCGTTTCTTTTATCATAAGATGACTTCATTAAAAACAAACACACGTTGATTGTGTCATTGTCCCAATTGATTTTGTATGTAGTAACAGAACCATTGGTGTTTTATCAATCTCTCACATCCCATAGCTTTGGTATTGCTTTTGTCGTCATAGTTAACTTGCAAAACATCGTCATTGTCTTCGTTGTCGTTACTGGAACCATCTTCTTTATCATTGTTTTAATTAAACATTAAATCCGGGAAACGCGCAAAGTATTGTGCTTTACCATTGCCACAATTTTCGACGTCGACATTGTCAGCTCTTTTAATGTCATATTTGGCAGATAGTATTATATGCTATAATTGGCAGATAGTATTATATGTTATAATTGGATTCGTTTTATCTCCCTGTAGTAACAGTTGCTAAGGTGCAAATGTTCTGAACGTTAAATTAGAAGGCGACGAAATAAATGAAAATATGTTATGTTATATAACCCGGGTTCAGCCTTAGCTCGATGAAAATGGAAAACATTGCTGCTCCAGGAAAGTACACTCCCCCTTAAAAGTTGAACAAAACCAATTTCTCTATTGAACACGTATACAAACCTAAATGCCTGACGAATTTTCCAAAATTGTCGAAACCGTTTTTGACCATAAGGAAAAACAATTTGAGAAATAGAATGTTTAAACGCACAAATGCTGTGTAACTTAGGGTTGCTAATGTTTCGTTGGGGAGTGTTGGTGTATAATGAAACATGTTTTGACAGTTTGTGAACGGGGTTCGTTGGTTCGTTGGGTTTTTCAGTAAATGCCATAAAGGTCACGGTAAAAGTCACACCAGTTGCGCGCTTGAACATCATTCAATGTGAAAGGTAATGAAGAGCACGTGCAAAATCCATCACCTAAAGTTTTCAAGGGATCCGACCAGACATATGTTCCACGAGTGCGGAGAAAATTAACAGAAAACGTTAGTTTATTTCCAATATTCTCGGACCTTCTCGATTAAAGAGCGAACCACGAAAGGCTCAATTAGGCAATAATCTTTTTCAGGTGGACCAATCGTGTAAAATTATGGAAAACACACATTTACAACATATTAACGATTTTGAAAAACGTTCCATGGTCCTTTGATCTTAAATTAAGGTAGCAAAAACGAATGTTTACCCTATGCCCTAGTCATTCGTAGGAACTAGTTAACATTTTCTGAACTTGAGAATAAAGTGTTGATGATACGCATCTGCTTTGAGAGATCTATTTCAATGGCGTCATTTATTATCTACTTCCCGTAATAGTACGCAAGTACTTTAGAAGTGGGCATTTTTGATTCCGATCTTACATATTACAGAGACTGGATGATATCTTTGACCATAACCTACTTGAGAAGTTTCCAAATGTGCAACGGTGTTGATTAATCGAGGTTCTTGTATCGAAACCGAAAATGGCCGAAGATGCTTCAAGGAATTTGTTTGGTTAAAATGTACCACCCATGCATGATATAAACATCTTCGAGTCACGTTGCCCCGGTGCTAGCCCGTTCTTGTCAAAAAGTTTAATTTTGAGAGAGATAATCTCTACTCTCATCAAAATCAGAAGAAATAAATTGATAGATTCATTTAACTAGAATACAACTTGAAGGCCAAGGAAGGATTGGCTCCCAGGATCGAAACTCGATATTTTCCAGCAATGAAAACGTCGAAATCGAAATCGAACCAACATCACGATCATTTTTGTGCGTTTTTGAATTTTTCGTTTGGAAATAAGACCAAAATTCATAATTCAAATGTTGAAGTGAACAAAATGGCGGCTGTTTGAATTCGAATTTTGTAATCACGACATGGCCATATATGGCAAAAATATCGATGTTGCACTCTGGGAGTCAATCCTCCTTGTTGAAGGCGGGGTATCTACTGAAACTTCTTATTCTAGTGATTAATAGTAGTAAGAACTACAAAATGCTTTCATCTTCATTTTGTTACCATGTCCTCATATCATAACCGTTCTGATAGGAAAACGTCTTTCCTTTTCAAAGTACTTCTGGTCCTTTTCAAAGTACTTCTGTTCTGGTCCTGGATTGTGATATTGGTTCTCGATTGGAGGGGGAGGGGATTTTAGACATTATTTCTTTTCACATTAGATTATGGTTTTGGGATATATAGGGTCTACTTTTCTTATGACAGATTTACACTTACAGTTTGCTTTTCTTGTTGGGTTTCTTTAAAGTTTTTAGCCACCCTTCCCTTTGGCATTTGTGCTTATATATTCCTACGAGTTATATCCAAATTAGAGAGACGCTGCATGCAGACACTATAGTATCCGCCTACAGTATGTTGGAATGGGGGAGATGTGAAAATGTATGTTAAAGTGTGACAACTTAGATACAATGAGTGATGGTGCGATTGTTGAAACTACCGATTTTTCAAAATTAAAGTGACAATGCTGATGTGGAAACCGATTATGGTGATGGTGGTGACGATAAAACCAATTTTGATGTGTAAATGACAACAGAGATGTTAATGCTGACGACAACAATTTTGAAAAGTCCTTGCTTAGCATGAGTAATGGGTTTTAATGATTTTGGCCCGTTACTCAAATTGAAGCTAATTCGGGAGCAAATATTCTCAGACGACGAGACCTCAAAAGGCCTGTTTTGGCTAAAAAAGAACGGAACATTTTTCATCCCAATTTAATTATTTTAAATTTTGCCTCACCTTACACCTTATGTCCCCAACTGTATCAGCCTTTGGACATGACATTAATTCACATGAAAATGACAAAATTATAACTAATTACCAAATACAATCGAATAACATTACGATTGATAAAACTAGAGCAGTCGAACGCACTGAAACATACGCCTACAATCATTTAACTCCAGAAATGAAGTTTTAACAAGATTTGCTTATCAAGAATATTCCGGAAATGTTCCCAAGGGGCATAAAACGATAGATAAGCGAATACTTTGTAAGCAATCTCCAGCTTACGTCTGTGAATGAGATAGCATTCGGTAGTCCAATTAGAGTAATTTAAAAGCCAGATATTCACTTAATAGTGTCGATGTTTTGACATGGTAAACATGGAAATGGCGTCTGATGTTTTTTAGCTTGTGGTTATAGAAGTTGATGGGTGAAGGTCATTGTTCAAATATGCTACCGTCGGTCGGAATGCGGAATGGAAATAAAACGCCAAGCACATAATAAATATGAAATGCGTAAATGGCACTGGAGGTTCCAGAAGCTAACAAGGTGGGGGGACGATTTCAAGAGAAAAAATGTCCGTAAAGAGATGTTGATGCCCTTGAATCCAAAAATCGGATC